TACACCTCCTAAAGAAGAAGTACAACACAAGCCTCATTACACAAATCACTGCCATGTTAACAAAGCACCTGTTTTCTTGCTCTGATGGACAGTATAGGAAATGGCATATTTAATTGTCTCTACTCAGCATCCATTCTTCCAGAAGACGATTTAAAATGGGAGTAAAGGAAAAATTCTGGAAATCATTCAGAAATGAGTGACAAACTCATTTGTCCTATGCCCATATAGTAGAAAGCCCACCCCAAATTAGAAGCACTGAGAAAAGTTACCTGAAGGAAATTTAAAAGTACCAGAGCAATAGGAACATTTTTGGCTCCCTGAATAAAGTTATTATAACAAGATGCTATCACTAACACATAATTCAAGATGGTCTGGACCTAATTTGCAGGCTATATGGCACTGAGCCAGAGACAATCTGTCGTTTAATGGTTGGCTGCCCACAGCTTGCACAAGTGAATTATACTGATGCTTCATTGCAGTTGTTAAGTACATGCACTGAAAAATGTGTTGGAACACTTAACTGAATACATGAATTATAGGTTTATTACTAGACCCAAGAAACAACAGCAAACTTGAAGATCAAACTTCTGTAACATTAGACAGAATGACCACTGATGCTCCAGATAAGGGCTTTACTTTTTCATTCCTTACTCACTAGTGCCTACAGCTGACTTCGCTGCAAGGTGGGGTGTGAGAAGAAAGTAGGAGCAGCTCTAACAAGCCAATGTATATTGTAGCTTGTGAAAATGTCTCATAGATAGATAAGCATTGCCATTTTGTCAGAGGCCACCATCCGAAAGTTATGCAGTGAACTCATTGCAGGTTGCTTGGACTGAAAATCAAGAGGATAAAAAACAGTACTGCCCTTGTCCCTAGTAAATTAATTGCCACACAGGCTCAACGTGTCATTGGTCTTGTCACCAGTTAGAATGATTCTCATGCATTCAACTAACACCAGCTTATCAAATATGAATCTGGTGCTTCCTCAGTGATAAACTTGGAATCTATCCTAGCCCTCACAAAAGATACTGAGAAATAAAGAAAGGACCATCATAAATACCATATTTTTTTGTATACCACATGCCCCCAAATAAGGACATACATCTTGGTTTTGGAAGGCAGAATGCAGAAAAAGGGGTGGGGGTGGGGAGGGATAAAGTAAGCTCCTCACAAAACATGCCAGGAAGAGTGGCAGTCCACAGGACACAGTCTGGGTGGTATAGCAGGACAGCATCATGGCTAGGCCACAGACCCTTCAAAAGGGCAGTAGCAAAAGTGTCATTTCTTTACACTAAATAATTCTTTATATAAGTTCCTATAAATAATGAAGTGTTGTTTCCACACCACAAGTTTCAAAATACTACAGAAAGCATGCTGCAGCTCACATGCCCTGGGCCAGCTTCAGGCAAAAGCTACACAACTCAACCACTAGCTACTGCAGCTGTGAGAGGGTTAACACAGAACTCTGCCCCTTCTGCTTGCTGGGACCACTCTTAAGACACATATCCCAGTTTTGGTGGGCTGATTTCAGGGAAAAGGGGTGTGCAGTGTGCACGTTCACAGTTCACCATTTACACTCTCGATGTAGAGATGAACTGAAATGTTGCACTAGAGACAGAAAATAGACCACCTGGTAACTTATGAAAAATACAACATATCTTCCCCCAATTTATAGCATTTACTCTTTAAATATAAGCAGAATTTCATGAAAATTGATAAGCATGATTTAGTAACTGTTAATAATAAACAAGCCTGCCATGATAAAGTTGTTTTATGTCACAATTACATATGTGAATATATAAAGGACATGGAAGGCTGGGTGCACAGTTAAAATGCTAAGTAATAGTGTATGACACAGTTTCAGTTCCTGAGTTGCCTATTTGACTGGAATAGACAAAAGGCCAGATCCTATTCTACTAGTTGTGAATCAATGTGCAATTTAGGGGATAAGTCTTATTTCAATGTATGTACTTAAGGATCACTTGCATAGCCATCATCTATCTAAGTGCAATTCTTGGTATTTATATGACTTTAGTATTCTATTTCCATTTGTGATGGAATAGAACTGTTCAGGTCCATGTGTTCCTAAAATGGCAAGGAAGAAGATAGCCCCTCCAGCAGAGCATCTCTTCACTGAGCCACCCTCCTAGCTTGTGGTATTCTTCCTGACCTCACATATATCTTCCCCTGTTGACTGTCCTCTGGGCCAAATTCAAGAAGTCCTCTGGAAAGGGAAATTCCTAACCTACTGGAAAAAGTGGTTCAAATCCCCTCTGACTATGGGGCACCTACAAATTGTTGTCAACCCTGGTCATTTTCAAGGATCTTAAGTCAAGCTGCAGAAGTGTGGCCAAGCCTACTTGGCCACTGCAGAAGTGCTCCAAAGCCTATTTCTAAGTAACCACGAAGTGAACATTTGCAGACATGACAACCACCTTAATCAAAGCAAAGGAAGCAATCAAAATGCAGATTGGTTACTGATAAGAGAAGCAAGAAACAGATCCAGAGCCCAACCAGATAACAAAACTAGAATAACTTACTCCTTTTTACTGAGTTACTAGGCTAGATTGAAGGGCTGCTCTCCTCAGGTGATTCTATTTTGCCCCAAAACCTATGGGAACTTTTGCATGCAGAGCTAGACCAGGAATTCTTAAGTCAGCTCACAGAGGT